TAGAATGACACATTGGATACTTTTTAACGCGTAAAAGGTAATTCTTAAAAAACTAATTATAACGCGGACAAAATCGGGTGCGATTGCTAGTTATTACTATGATAGCCATGTTAGAAAGCATAGATAGAATATATTAAGTAGTACTATGTTATTATTGTGCAACGTTAGAAATATTAACCCAATATTTACCCACTATGTTTTTACAACAACGTTGGAGGAAAGTAATTTTTATAAGGATAAATAAGTAAGTTCCTTTACTGCTTAATTATCCTCCGATAAAAAACTAACCTATTATCTACCAGTGCTATTCAAAACATAAGCCATATAAAATCAATCCATACATTTTCCTCAAAAGATCAGTGGCGGCGCTAGGCGTCGGCGACGTCGGCCACCGCCGACGGCCTTGCGCCTGAGGGGGCCTCGCAAAAAATTTTTACAACTTACCTATTTATTTTCGTTTCTCCTGGCCTAGCTTGGGTAGCCCACCCCGAACAATAAAAAGCTAAGCAGATGATAATGACTTTTATTATTTTCGAACTCGTGCGTGATGGAAGCGAGTAGTACTTTACGGGTATTCAGAATTGTCTGTCTGGCAACACTATTTTTGTAATTAAATTTCTATGTTTGTAATTATTTTGTGTCATCATTTGATTATCAACAATAAAACACAAATAAAACTCATACGTTATTTTATAATTTGGCTCACTTAATTTAACGGTTTTTTACTACGAATTAAAATAGGCCTCGCGAACTTGATGTCGCCGACGGACGTCCCCATGTGGTCTAGCGCCGCCACTGCAAAAGACAATATTTATTTTGCTAAATAAACTAGTAAAACCATAAGCAAATATGATAATTTGATACGTGTAACTATTATTCAATATTTTTTATGTTATTCTGATAACGATGAGCAATCATTGCACGCTGCCGCTGGGCACACGACTTTTAATATTATACAGATAATAACTGGGGAACCAGTTTACTTATAAAGGACTCGGCAGTCTTAAATAGCTAAACCACAACAGTGTTATACGACGACCGGTAGGCGACGCTCGTGTTTTGTAAAATTTCAATTGAATTTTTTAATAAATAATGCCTAAAGTGTACAATTTCGGTGCGGGACCAGCGAAATTGCCGGAAGAAGTAAGTTCTTATTTTCAATACGTTGCAAAGAATTTGCACATGTGCAATGGTTTAAAGGACATTGTTCAGCGTCCATACATAGTTAGCCTAAGAACCAACAATCATGAAATATTATTTTCTAGGTTCAAAATCGTAAGTAAATGACAGTAAAAACAAAGATTATTGACGGACACTCCGGAGAACTTGAATTATTAGGAAAACTAAAAATAATTTTTTGAGGTTATGTTTAAAATTCAATGAAACATAGGTCAACCTATGAATTTAGTATGAACTCAGTATGAAGTGAATTAATATTACAACTGATTCATTTTATTCGGTGCGATTTTAAAGAATAACTATTAGAAAAAACTTTTTAAGATAGGAATCATCAATAAAATAAAAACTGTAGTTTTGCTTCTTATTTATTGACTATTTTTCGCACAATTGTATCATATTGTTTATTGTGTTTATTTGTATATCACATGTATATTGTGTAAATATGCAGCGTGAATGTGTATCACGTGTTCTTGAATAATTTGGCAGTATGATCCTCTCAGGATGTTGTGGCACAGGTTCACTAGCACTTGGTAATAAGGGCTCTGCTCTTTGGTAACATCGATGGAATATTAGATAGCCGAAATAGGGAAAAACAATCGCAAATAAACACACACAACAGGTATTCCGAAACGAGAATGCACTTTCCGGTATTTAAACTACTCTTTGGAATGCACGAATGCCACAGATTACTACGAATGCAAACTGCATGCACCACAACCACAGAGTATCGAGTTTTATGCCGGCCCTTCACTTGACAACAATTTGTCCTTGTCATGCTTAATAAGGAATGAAAAGGACAGACTGATGTCATGTTTTAAAATAGCAAATACGAATAGCAAAGTGAAGTGCCGGCATTAGGAAGAAACAGTGTTTTCAGCTGTGCCATAGATTATACACATAAAATGGTATTTATTGTCTCAGATTATTTTTTAACTTTTTAATTTAGCTTACTTAACTGGAAGTGTCCGTCACAATCTAAATACTGATAATTATCGCAAAAAATATACTAAGAATTATCATAAATGCCAAATTGGTGTTGGTTCTTAGGCCAATTTTAACATCGTCCTTTATTCTTAACTGATGCCGGTTTATTTAATCAGTTCAACCTTCTATTGACTCTTAAGTATATTGTATCGTAAACGTTGTTTGCAGGTTTATGAGATAGTTAGAAATGAATTGACTAATTATGATGGCACCGGAATCAGTTTGTTAGAGACAAGTTATCGTTCTTCCACTTATTTGAAACTTAACACAGAGGTTCAAGAGGTTGTGAGAAGACTATTGTGAGTTGTTTTTAATTTTAAAATATGTTCTTTTCACTTGTGTCTTGGTTAAGTACTGGCCGTGGCCGTTAAGTACTGACTTGGCCTTCAGTATCTTGTTTTACCCAATGTTTACAAAGAACTAAGTATCTTGAATTTATTTTTAATATGAACAGTAACGTGTATACCTATATCTGAATTTTTGGTAATTACAGAATATTAAGATTATTTAACAAGTTCAATTTCAATTTCAAGATTATATTTCAAACCTTCTATATTTTCATAATCTCATCAGGTTTATTAGATTAATATTTATATTATTAAGTACCTATTTATAAAATTGAGTTATTTTTAGGAATGTCCCTGCAAACTACAAGATATTGTTTATACCTGCTGGTGGTCAGGGTGAATTTGCAGCTGTCCCACTTAATTTGATATCGAGAACAGGAACTGCCGACTATGTTGTTACAGGTAAGGTATTACTGGTTTAAGTTACTTTATACGATATATGTCCCAATCACAAAAGTTTCGGTAAGTACAAATACACAATATATATTCGTACTTATTTTTATTTAAACTTCATTGCCAAACATAAGCAAACGGCGGACTTAATGCCATAGGCATTCTCTACCAGCCAACCAGTCAGAGTGTTGGAGACAAATAGTATGGCGATAGGGCAAAGTTGCTTAAAATTAAATAAAATGAAAATTGACATAATAACAGCAATAAAACTAATAATACTTAAATACAAATTAATACACATATATAAAATACTCATATAACCATTCATAAATATACATATATAAATATATATATATATATATATATATATATATATATATATATATATATATATATATACATGAAGTACAATAAATACGCGGTACTTTTAATCCGTCGTGTGCGTTACTTCATGTAGTTGTAATTTTTGGAGGACAAAAAAGTCCGCAGACAAAAGTCCCTTTCAGCGGCAGCGTCCCTTTTTAAGCATAAATATAATATATATCGATGCAAACTATAAGGAAAAGTCACGTAGTCAAGTAGTGTTCACGCACAAGTTTTTTGAACTCAAACTTATTGTGAGTACTACGTATGCGTAGTGGTAGAGCATTCCACAGGCGTATGGCAGTGATAGTGAATGATTTGGATCCAAAGCCAGAATGATTAACGGGAATTTGCTGTGTGAGAATTCTGCACGAGCAAAGATCATGTTGATTGGAAGTGACCAGAAATTAGAATCTAGATTTCAGGTACTATGGAGCACATGGATCGTATAAAAGCTTGAAGAGTATGCAAAGTATCTAAGGTTTCTTCGGCCATTGATAGGTAACTATTCTAGTTGTTTTGTAAAGGGAGAAATGTGGTCATATTTACGTAACCCGAAAACTATAATACCGCTGTTGAGCAAACGATCCAATTTGATAAGAAGATTTTGAGTGATGTCAGAATAGCAGATGTCAGCGTAGTCAAGAATAGGGAGAATAAGAGACTGGACGAGTGCGACTTTGGTACAGGAAGGGAGAAAGTGCTTTAGACGGTAAAGTGCTCGAAGTGTGTTGATCACCTTGCGAATAACTTCTTGAACATGAACTTCCCAGCTGAGAGAAGCATCATGGAGCAGATATAAATAAGCCTAGATTCCTAATGCTAGGAAGATACTGGACAACATTACCATTATACATTACCGGATTTAAGTTACTCAGACCAAGCGTATCCAATTGACGAGAGCTACCTAAAATAATAGCCTGGCATTCCGACGGGTTTACAAAGATACCATAGGACTTGGACCAATCGGAAATTCTTTGTAGGTCTTGGTTTAAGTGTATGATAGCAGCGTCTAAGTTATGCTTATCAGCTTTGAGCGTAGAGTTGGAGATCGTCAGCATACAGATGGTAAGAGGATTGAATTAGGGTAGTGAGGAAATTAATAAAAAGTGAAAAACCTGCGAACACCAACAGTGATATCAGCCCAGCTCGAAATAGCTACTTTTTAAAGAAATTAATCCAATTGTCCTTGGTCACGGTAAATTTGACAACGGCTTTACTGATTGCATTGAAGATATTTTTTTTTGAGTTTCCTGAAAATATGGAGAAGTTCATTACATTCATTTCAAGTTCATTATGTTTGCCGAGGCCCATACAGATGGTTTCGCGGCCATCATGCGTAAGCGCTGCGCCTCGCTACTTGGGCGGGTGCGCGGCAGCCCCAACACCATCCTGAGGGCGCTGGTAGAACGGTGGGACTCTCCGATGCTAGCTCGCTGGATACGACTGCATGCAGTCATATAGGCGGGGGCATCGTAGGGTGACATCAAACCACCTGTGTTTATTTACTAACATTAGATTTAAGTATAATCTATTTGTTACTAACCCACTATGGATCCTTGTTATCCGAAAATAAATGATTATTATTATTATTACGGAAAAAAATAAAAAAATGTGAAAAGCTAAAGTTAACGAACGGAGACCAAGTCGCAATGGAAGCTAGTTTATCATATAGCTAAGTTTTTTTATTGATTAGTAGGATATCTGGTGATTCGTTTTTTATGTTGTTCACAGGCGCTTGGTCAGAGAAAGCAGCTAAAGAAGCAAAGAAATATGGCAAAATCAACTTAGTAGTGCCGCCGACGAATCGCTACACGGGTGTACCCGCCGAGTCGACGTGGAATTTAGATCCCAATGCTTCCTACGTCCACATTTGCACAAATGAAACGATTCACGGTATGTGAAATATTTGACGATGCAATGGTGCGAGGTGCAACTTCTGTTGCACTAAATTATCGTTCGCATCTAGATTTATTTTTAAGCGAGCATTATTTATTATTTGCCAGGTCTGTTGATATTATGTAGGATTACTTTAATTCTTATTTTTGAAATATTTTACCGTTTCCCTACAATACTATCTTCTTCAATAATACCCCAATACTCCATTCCCCAGGGGCGTATAGAAAAGTTTCACACGAAGACTGGTGCTGCTCACCGTACTAGTAAAATTATCAATTGTTAACAAATAAGAAAGAAAAAAAGTTTTATAGATAATTATGATGAAAGATGATTTAATTATAAGATTATATCTATATTTTTCGTAGGTGTGGAATTCGACTTCATACCAGACACAAAAGGAGTTCCTCTTGTTGCCGACATGTCCTCAAATTTCATGTCAAAGAAAGTCGACGTGTCAAAGGTTTGTTAGCAATTTGTCGTTGTTGTTGCTTAGAAAATTACAGCAGTTACCGTTGTAGGTAATAAATATTTATTTGTTAATAACAATCAACTTCTGATACTAGCACAGCTTCAATTTGTAAAAGGTATTTACCGCGGGATGTTTACCTAATGACAATATAAGTATTATAAGTATTAAGGAAATTAAAAGCAATAATTATTTGGCATTAATAGGATAAATGATTAAAAATACTTCTACCGACAACCGATTAAGGTAATAGGCATCTATCTACTAATGAGATGAATGCAATAAATCGAATGAAACCAAATGGAAAGTTAATAGTTCTAAGGAACATGCGATTTAAAGGCATTCTTTTGTTTCAGTTTGGAGTAATCTACGGTGGAGCCCAGAAAAATATCGGCACCTCAGGCGTGGCGTTGGTTATTGTTAGGGAGGACCTCCTCAATCAAGCAATGCCAATATGCCCCTCTATCCTGGATTGGACGCAGACCGCCAAAAACGATTCAGTCCTAAACACGCCACCAATGTTTGCGTAAGTTACCTGATCCTCTTTTAGTCTAGAAAATTTAAAGCCTGGATTTCTTTTATTTCAATAATTTTCTACACTTGTTTAGGTAGGTTCACCTACCCATTTATGATATGAATATTTTACTTCAATTTTATTACATATTTCGCTGCCGAAACATTGTCAGAAATTTAATAACACCCCGAGGACATCTGACCTGGAAATCCCATACAGCAAACCTAAAAGACCATTCATTTCCAAATTGGATTACAGCAATTCACACGTAAACATGTTAATGAAATTTATATAAAAGTGTATACCCATTTAAACTAAGTCGGTGGATAAAAAAAATAATGGATTTCATAATTCCTGATATTTTTACACTTGATGACCCATCATTGATTAGCGCGTTAGATATGCGACTGTGAAAGCGATAAGTCATTGTGGTCTCGTCCTGGCTGCATTAGAAAACTTTACCACTCACCAATTAGATGGAACCGCGTGATGGGTTATAGTCATAACTCGCTATCCTTAGCCTGTCTATCTGCCTACAGCCTAGCAGTGGGCACGTTAATAAGCTAATAACGATGAATGAATAACCTTATTTAATTACTCTGCCATACATACATAAGAATAGCTAAACTACAAGGATTTAATAAATCAGTAGTAGATTGAATAGGTTATCAAGGGCTGTTGTAGAGAATATGTTACGTAAAATCTAGAACTTGTATGCATACAATATGTATCTAGGTCATATCTATAAATATATAAAGACTATTGACACAATCATTCTTTATGCATTTGAGAGAGATCCTAAAAAAATAAACTTAAATAGATTTACGCACCGATGATTAGCGAACACATTTGGTTTTAGCATCTACATAATGGGGCGTGTACTTCAATGGATCGAGAAGCAAGGAGGTCTCGACGCGATGGCTGAGTCAGCTCAGAAAAAATCGACTCTAATCTATAACATTATAGAGGAATCCAATGGTTTCTACTACGCACCGGTGGCCAAGAACTCAAGAAGTAGAATGAACATCCCGTTCAGAATAGGATCGTCCGAAGGAAATGATGCGCTGGAGAAAGAGTTCTTGAAGGGGGCTGAAGCTATGAGCCTTATTCAGTTGAAAGGTCACAGGTGAGATATTGTGATAATATTTTGTTACGGTAGTCTAATGTTTACAAATAATAAAAGGCTTTGATAAATATCTGTACCTGATCAAGCACAGCAGGCATTGATAAAGCGCATAATGATTAAAAATAAACTTAGAGGTGGCTGGTTCCATCCCTAGATAAAACTTATTTCGGCTTATTCCAAACGCGACTAACGCGGACTAAAGTTAGTCTTGGTGTAAACCTAATGTTGTCTCTGTATTAGTAAACTAAAGTGACAGCATCCGTTTTAGTCCAGGTTTATCTTATGTTTTGTAATAAGTCGGCTTATCTACCATGTGAAGGATAGATTTTTACTTTCTCCCGGGAATGAATTTTCATGTTAGGTTATTCCGTGGCCAATTTCAATTTAGTATTTTATTGGGATAAAAAATACTATTCACAGCTACCATCAAAAACAATACACTCTTTTTTCGGCAGGCTTGTAGAAACGAGTCTTTGTGACATGTAAATCAAAATAATGTTGTGAAAGAAATATAGGATTTATTTTACCTTTTTTAGATCCGTTGGGGGCATCCGTGCGTCCACATACAACGCTGTGACATTAGAAGAAGTCCAGACACTGGCGAAATACATGAAAGATTTCTATGCAAAGCATGCCAAGTAATTTATAATTATTATTATAAATGAATGTGTAATATTCAAACTTATCGCTTGATAAGTTGGAATATTACGCATTCATTTGTTATTATTTAGCTATGCAGTTGTTAATTGTAATTGTGATTATTATGTGTTTTTTTTATGTTTTCCTTGTAACCAGATAATGTAAGCTGGCGGGTGGTATGGATATTTTGGTGCGTTTTTATTTTGTTTTTGCATTAATTTGTTCACATTTTTTTATCTTTATTTGTATATATATAAATTTATTTATTAATATTTACGTAGTATATGATATCAGATGACGAATTTTTATCTGCTGATGACGAATCTGCAGACACTTCTATTAATGAAAGCTTCTGTTCAGCTACAGACACACTTGGTGATTTTTTGCATCGAACTCTTGACCAATCTCCAGGTCTATTGAATATATGTCACATCAATGCCCAAAGTTTACCCAGTCATTATGACGAGTTGCTTGATGTGTTCTCTGGGCGAAATGTACACGCTATACTAATTTCCAAATCTTGGTTAAAACCACATCTTCTATCTCCCACTCATTCTCTCCCTGGTTTTACCTTAATTCGGAATGATCGTTGTGGCCGTGGCGGAGGTGGTGTCGCTATCTGCTGTAAGAGAATTGTAAATTAGTAGTTATTTATTTATTGTAATCTAAATGATTAATATGTTTTTTGGGGGTGGTAATACTGTTTTTGGTGGCTAAGTTGTGTTGTCAACTTGATATCGAGCAGTAAAGTTTATGTTTGGTGAAAACAGAGTTTTATTATATAAAATACTATCTCACAAGTTAGTAAGTGTCAATCAGCAGTTGCTAAATCATTAGAAAAAGTGAAAAAGTTAATATTTCAGAAGTGAGCAGCGAAAACACGTGCGTTTCGGCCGTTTGTATGCGGTAGGTAATGCCGCCAAAGGTCAGTGACAATTTTTCGTTATTACGACGGCAAACTTCCTGGATTGTGCTAATTCTACAGAGAGCCAGTTCATTGCGTTTGTTGGTGTGCAGTACAGTCTCCGTAACTATATATTTTGATAAACTAGAAGTTCCTTAGTTTGGTTTCATACCTACTGCAAAATTACCGACGCGGAGTGAAAATAAACGCCACCTGTGCGTATACGTTTGAACTATTATCGACAGGTATTGATGTCAGGCGATGACATGACGTACGTCAAAATAATAGAGATGTTTCTTCACGCCGCCAGATGTGACTGTTAACTCATGTTCGTGTCGTTAGATGGCGTTATTGAACCAAAAGTGTGATTACTTTGAATATTTCTATGCGTAATAATACGTGAATTCTTTGCGTGAATTGAATGAAACTTTTACGTTATTTTTTTATTAACGTTGTTTTAGTGTATTATGAAGAAAATAAAGCTTACGTAAACAAAAATAGATTGCGAGACGGAAACTAACAGGGGAGAACTTTCTGTTTAGATTTTGTTTTATTTTTTCTTAAAATAGTTTGGTGTACTAAGAACTCATAATAGTTACTCATATGTTAGTTGATAACTAGTTTAACTAAGGGTGGGTTTACCTATAATGCGAAGAGATGGCGCTGCCTTGCAGCTTAAGAATAGCTAGAAAGAATTTCGACGCGGTCCGTGAGGGCTGCGGTAGCATAATTGGTCAGTGCATTCGCCCGGATTGCGAAGGGTGCGGGTTCGAGTCCCGTCTGCTGCCTGGTCCGCTTGGAATTTTTTTCTAGTTATATTTTCTTTAGATTTAAACATCAAGCAGTTACATGCTTTAAAAATAATAAAAATTATAACTATAATTGCTATTTCTTCTTTCAAATGTTTAATACTTGTAAAAGTATTCATTTGACATTGTGGGTTTACCTATAATGCGAAGAGATGGCGTTGCCTTGCAGCTTAAGAATAGCTAGAAAGAATTTCGACGCGGTCCGTGAGGGCCGCGGTAGCATAATTGGTCAGTGCATTCGCCCGGATTGCGAAGGGTGCGGGTTCGAGTCCCGTCTGCTGCCTGGTCCGCGTGGAATTTTTTCTAGTTATATTTTCTTTAGATTTAAACATTTATTTACTAAGATTGAGAAAAAATACCACCGATTTTTAATAATATTTATTTATTAAGACTGTGAGAAAAAACATTAACCAGAATCTAGCTCTTCTATTCCGCTCATCTCTGCATTACCACCGTAGTAGTTATAATTAATCATGCACTATTACTAGGTCACATACGTACATGCATCCTTAATGTAAAGGAAAGTTTGAAATCGGGTTTCTGAACGCAACTTAAAGTGACATTTGGTTGACGATTTAGGTTATCAACCGATATTAATTATCAATATTTGTTATTGTTTGTTTACAAATGTTTGGTTTTGTTTTTGAATTAGCGGAGTGCTAAAAAAGGGTTCCAGGTTTTTTTTTGCAAACGGTACTTTTCAAGCGATTCTTGACAGATAGAGGTCATTGGCTTTCCTATTCTTATTTGAATCGCATTATACTGACAAATTACAAAATAATAACTATTGTTTAAATTAAATAATGAGACAACAGACAACTCGTCTTGCTTAATAATAATAATTATTGTAATAACTTGCATAAAAATATTAATTTAATTAAGAAAAATCCCAAACAATTAAAAGAAAATGTAAACTTGATCAACCTGATGCATATAAATGTTCAAGGAATGCTGGGTAAGGACTTAGAACTTGAATTATTTTTGAATTGTAACAATATAGGTATATTTTGTATCACAGAGCATTGGCTTAAAAGTAATCAATTCATCTTTAATTTTAATAATCATCAGGTTGGTAGTTCGTTCAGTCGAGAAGATGCGATTCGCGGTGGCTCTTTAATTTTATTAAATAAGGCACTTAAATTTAAGGAACGTAAAGATATTGTGAGCCTCTCGGTTGAGCAAACAATAGAGATTGCCTGTGTGGAACTGGACCAGCTTGTTGTATTGAGTGTATACAGACCTCCTTCAGCATTGTATGATTGTTTTGAAACTATTATGGATGAAGCTTTAGAAAAAATTGTCAACACTGGTAAACCATTAATTGTTTGTGGTGACTTTAATATTAATCTATTAGAAACCTCTAATTTGAGTATTAAATTAAGAAAGCTATTTCAATCATATAATCTTGAAAACTTGTTCATGGAGCCTACTAGAAATGAGTTTTTGAAATGGACAGGCCGAAATCAATTAAAAAAGAATATTCGGGCGCCTGGACTGTACCATTATTATTAGCCGGGAGAGCATAGGAATATTAATCGCAAAGGGGGCTTAATGCAAATCCATATTCATTTTGGGTTGTCTATATATTGAAATTTTAAGTCCAAAATTACTTAAGTGCAAAAGGGTTAAATCTAAATTTAGAAACTATTATATACTGTGATGCTACTAAGAATTAAATGAAAATTTACCTTATTATTAGAATGTTACCGACCCCGCTGCATCCGATCTGGGTAGTATATGTCTGGTGTTGTAAATATGTAGGGGATGGCCGTTTTTAGATCCTGTGGGTTCACCTCCACCTCATGGGAAATGTCGAAATTGGAATGAAATAATCCAAATAAAAAACCAAGTAAAAAAACGCTTTTCGCTGAAAACAAACATTCCTCAGATTAGCACATGGCTGACAACAAAGGAAAAAAATGTAAATCTAAGGGAATCACTAAGGTTCTTACCGTTTTACAAACAAATTAAGCTTTTGGGACACCGCCCGCCATTTCGTGGAAATGGTGCTACAAAGGTTTCATTCCATCTGAAACAAATTCAATCCTCATGTAAATCATTGGAATATATGAATCAAAAAACTTTTCGAATTTGGAAAAACACTTACCATTAAAAACAATCAATAACATAAGGGATTATCAATTAAACATATTGGAATACAAAATGACCATCCTTTGGTCTAAAAATTACGTCGTGAAGTGAAGTGACAGTTTTTTCTTAAGTTTGTTTTCTCTTGCCGGTAGGCAAAGAGAACAACGTCCATTCAGCCTACTGCTTGATAAAGTCAGCAACATAATTATTCAAAAGTGCACAGATTACAGAAAATGGGCGCGAGATAAAAACGACCAGAGAGACAACCAAAAAAAATCTTCTATCTCGCTCTTCGAGCGAAGGAGATCCATGTGACGTTTTTAACACGTTACATACAATATAATACCACATTCAAAAGTAATTGTTAATCAACTAGATAGTGATCATTGTGGCTAGATGATTACTTTTCCACATCCAAATAAAAATACCACCAAGAAATATATTACTATTGTGCCAAAATCTGTTAATCGTATAGAGCGTTTTAAAATTCAATTAGATAGGAATTTGAGTTATTTAAAGTATAAAAGTAGTCCAAATGATATGTATAATGATTTTTTTAATAATTTTTGTAAAGAATTTAATGATGTCTTTGTTCCCAAAACCATATGTGTTAGTGATGCAGTAACTTTCAGCGAGTGGGCCACCCCAGGCATACATAAAAGTAGAAGGAAACTTTATGAACTTTACAATGAACGCAGCATTAATACTAGTGAAAGTTTCAAAGAGTACGTACGTAATTATTCAAAGTTATTTAAAAAAGTGTGTCGTACAGCAAAATCAAATTATTTAAGTAGTAAGATTAAGAATAGTAATGACAATATCAAAATGACTTGGAACATTATAAACAATGAAACTGGAAAATCTAAAACTCGAAATACTGGTTTTAATTTAAACATAGAAATCTTACATCAGATGTTGAAGTTGCTACAGCATTTGAGAACTTTTTCACTGATATTCCAGTTTCAACTACAAAATCTTTGAACTCCTCCCCCATTGCTGCTGAATCAATATTAAAAGAACACACAAAACAATATACTAGTCAATTTAAATTTAAGTATGTGAACTGTAAAGATGTAATAAAATATTTCAACCAATTAAATAAAAAGAAAACTGTGGATCTGTGGGGTAACTCCGTGGATGCTTCTGGATCAGTAATTGAGACAATAGCTCCTATTCTGGCTAGCATTTTTAATCAATGT